TCTGAGACAGGGTCTCCCTGTAGCCCCATCTAGTCTGGAACTCACTATGTAGACCAGGCTGTCCTCGAACGCTCATAGAGATCCACCTGCCTCTGCCTCCCAAGTGCTGGGATTAAAGGTGTGCACCACCACACCAGGCTGGATACATGGTTCTTAACCTATTGTTCAGACTTGGCCATTAGAAATATAAATCTATGAAATTTTAATGATAGTGTGAGTTAGTAGAAACCAACATGGTCTTCTCTCAAAATACCTTATGCTATACTCTTTTTGTTGACCTGGATCAAGTGAAATCTCAAAAAGTGAATCTTCAGATAATGGGGACTAGTGTATATGAAATATTCAAATTAGGCAAATCTGAGCCAGCAAGCCAAGCCCAAAGACCTGAGTCCGATCCCTGGGGACCTCTACATATGTGCTGTATATAGCACCTGGATGCCCCCCCCAAAATAAAATGTAATTTAAAAAATAATAGGCAAATCCATGAAGATAAAAAGCAGTTTAGTGTTTCCTAGGGGCAGGGAAAAAGGGAAGTACTGACCTTCTATGGTGCTAATAAAAAGACTCTAAAATTAGAACGGTAACGGTTCCTTACTATGAATATTCCCAAATCACTGAAGATTTTATGTAAGGCAGACCTGAGTGCTTCTTAGGTGCCCTTTCTCCAAGTGTCAGAGCAAAAGGGGAGTGAGGTCCAGTTTAGAGACTGCTTCCATGGATCCAGGTAGCAGGACAGACTGGGCCCACCTCCTACTCCTGCTTACTGTTTCTGTTCCCCTTCTGCATGTTTCTGTCACTAAGTGCTGCTTACAAGGGATGAGATCCCAAGTGAACCTCCCCCATCTCATCGTTTGAGGTTTGGGGCTCACACTGGCCAGTGATACCACCTTATTTCAAAGGCAGAACACTCATAAGAAATCCCCACTTCCTTTTTAAAAAACATTTTATTATTTTTATTTTATGTGTATGAGTGTAATGCCTGCATGTAGGTAGGTGCACCTGTGTTGTCAGAAGAGGGCGTCAGATCCCCTGGAACTGGAATTACAGACAATTGTTAGTCGGTATGTGATGCTGGGACTCAAACCCTGATCCTCTGCAAGAGTAGTCAGTGCTCTTAACCTCTGAGCCATTTCTCCAGCCCAAGAAATCCCCACTTCTTATATACTACTTCCCATAGGTGCTGGGAAGCTGGCTCCCTGCCCACGGATACACACGAACATCTAGCCCCAAGCTTGCTACATTGTCTGTCACACATGGTTACCCCCATGGAAAGCCATAATTTTCTAGATTCACAGTCAGGCTGGGCATCTCACACTCTGTGTGAGAGAGCGCTGTGGATGAATCTTAGGCTCAGTTAGGCACTCCAGGGTCTATGGAGGTTTTGGGTAGGACAGGCCTCTCTCCCTCTCCAGGAGGGGGAGCTCCTGGGCTAAGGAGATCTGCTAGGCCTGAGGTATGTATGTCTGTGTGTACTGGGGTCACTGCTAGGGTGATTTTTCTAACCCTCTGGATGCACAGGTTTGTCCAGTGAGGACACCTTCGAAAAGGAGGTGGTATGGAAAGACGGGTTCAGTCCTTCTGGGAGTAGCCCAAGCAGGGCTAGTGTGATGAAGCTCAAGCCGAGGGCTTAAGGTGTGAGATCTTGGTCACTGACCCTCTCTCTGAACCACATCACCTGGGAAACAGAATGGGTGTGGCATGGTGGTGCCCCTCCTAGGGAATATCTTCTGAGGTCTGTTGCTGTGTCTGCACAGGTGTTAGCCCTGCAGTCCTGCCCAAATGAAGTGTGCTGTCCTGGACAGTACTTAGGCTTGCAGAAGTTCTGAGGTGAGAATGGTTAGCCCACGTGGAGTGTAGGGGGTACTGATTGCCAGTGTGCTTGAGTAAATTGGGGAATGGGACAGAAGAGCTGATGCTGTCTGAGAACCCAAATGGAAGGATAGAGGGCAACTGTGGGGCTAAAGTGGACCAAGTTCCCTGGGTATTAGGAAGGAAATACCCAAGATGCTAGGTAGGAACACCACAGACAGGCACGGGGGAGGGGAAGGTTAAGCACTCTCCAGTGGCCCTGGCCTTCCTTTACAGCCAACAAACATTATTGTACCTCATACAATGGATGTTAGTGTTCACTGAAACCCTTTGAAAGAAAAAGTTTAATTAAAAATTAAATATATTGTATTATATATATATAAAGGCAAAGTAAAAAATACAGTCTGGTTCTAGAAAATACACTGCAGAAACGAATTAGATGCTTCAAAAACTTAACCCTGACAGAGGCAGCCAGCAGGTCATCAGCCCGAGCTTCCTAGGGAAGCCCCAGGACGCAGGAGCCACCAGCAGGACTGCCAGAACAGGGGTGGGGCAGGGCGGGCGGAGGTGGGACCCTCAGGCCACCAGCTCTAAAGGCTGCTGCATAGCTGTGCATACATCTGCAAGAGGGAGGAAGCGGGCAGGGCCCTGCCACTTGGCGATATGTAGAAGCGCTGGAGAGAAGGGGCAGTGCCTAGCCTGAGATGCAGGCGCTGTAGTAGACGGCACTGCTGGCGTCGGACAGTGCGGAAATGAGGCTGCTCTCCTCTGGACAGGACATGGCGCGCGGACCTAGTTTGGCCAGCGCCATATGGTAGGGGAGTGTAGTGGCATCCGGCCGAGTCCGGCTGCAGTTGAGGTACTGGTCGAACTCGGTGAGGTCCACATCGGCCCAAAGGTCGGCGGCAGGGCCTAGCGACTCAGCGGCTTCCAGCGGAGGGGCCTCGGGTGGCGGTGATAGAGGACTGGAGTACGGGCCTGGCATGCCCAGGGTGCCATAGTAGAGGCCAGCGAGAGGCGCGGCAGGCGGCGCGGTCCTGAGCGCCTCGGCCAGGGGCGCCCCGAAGCAGGCTCCAGGGTCCCGGGCTAGCTCCGGGGCGTAGGGCGCACGGAAAGCCCGCAGAGCGCAGTCCTCGGGTGCCGAAGGTGGTGGGAAGAAAGCGGCCTCGCCAGGCTCCAGGCCGTCCAGCGGCGAGCGCTCAGGCGTGGGTAGCCCTAACCCATCGAACTCTGCGCCCAATGGGGGCACCTCCCGAAAGGCGCGGACCGAGCCTGGCGCTGCAGGGAAGGGTTCGGGCGGCGGTTGCACGAGGCCGGGGAGCAGGAGGCCAGGCTCTAGCCGCCGGGCCTTGCGCGCCTGTTTTTTGCGGCGGGGTCGGTACTTGTAGTTGGGATGGTCGCGCAAGTGCTGCACACGCAGCCGTTCTGCCTCTTCCACGAAGGGCCGCTTCTCCGCAGCATTCAGCTCCTTCCACGCTTTGCCTGCGGGCCACCGGAACTAGTCAGTGGACTGCCGTCGGGAGTACAACATACCAGACCCTGCGTGCGCCCTGGGCGCACCATGCGAGCGCCACACAGCCCCCTGCACCAGGTCCCAGATCCCGACAACGCCCCCGCCTCCCCCCAGGTCTCCTCCCCTGCCTTCCCTCTCTGCGCTTTCGGATCTCACCCAGCATCTTGCTCAGCACCGCGTTGTGTAGATCCGGGTTCTGCTGCGCCAGGCGTTTGCGCTCATCCTTCGCCCACACCATGAAAGCATTCATGGGCCGCCGGATGCGCGACTCGTCGGCAGTCTGGCGCTCTCCACGGACGAGACCATAGCGCCCTGACTCGGGGCTGCGTGGCGGACTCCGAGGAGGAGGGCTGGACGGTGAGGCAGGCTCGACGGGCGAGACGTTGGCGGCTGGGAGGCCGCGCGGCTCAGCAGCGGCCCCGAATCCCGGGGCCCATGCACAGTCGCGGCGGGAGGGCGGATCGTCCTGTGCGTGGTAGCCGGGCGGCGATCTCTGCATTCCAGCTGGGCAAGGCCTGGGCGGAACGCGGCGCGGGAGCGCAGAGGACAGTGGCCGGCACCGCGAAGCCAAGCACGGAGGGCAGACTGACGGCGGGTGGAGACGGTGGAGACGGAAGCCTCACCCGGAGACCACAACCCAGATATAGAGACGCAGGGCCAATCGGCAGCGGAGCGGGCTGGCTGGGGCGGGGCTGCCCCCTCCCTAGTGGCGTCCTTTCTTCTCCAGCCGGGCAGGATCCAGCCGAGGCCTTCCTAGTGCAGAGTCCCCCGCCTTGTTTCTGAAGGAGAGAACGCCCCCCCCCGCCGAGTGGGAGAGGGCTACTGGTGTGGGCTGGGGCTCCGAAGGAGGGGTCCTCGAAGGTTGTTCCGCTCTCAGAGCCGAGCTGTCACCCCACCCACGGAGTCAGACCCCTGGGTGGTAACTGGAGGAGAGGGCAGCGCCAGTAGGTTGCATTGGGGGAAGGAAGATTTATTTTAGCACCAAGTTCTTGGGAGGTCGCCTTCATCTGCACCTCGGGGAGAGGCAGTGGAATTTTGGAGATGTTCTTGCCACTGGAGGTTGACCTTCCTCCCAGCTGCTGAGCTCAGCACTAGTAGTTCCCAGTGCCTCTACCCAGTCCTGTCCCCGAGGTTAGGGAGAAGGTGGGCCTTTCTTTCCCTCTCCCACGCCCAAACTTTGGAACAAGGCAGAGCCTGGACTTAGTCCACAAGGAAAGGGAGACTGGGCCAGAGTCAGACCCTGCTCCACAGGGTCTTCTCTGTGTAGGTTACTGTGGCCAGTTCCCCTGCCCAGGCCAGACTTCTCCCAGGAAGAGACAGGAGACTGAACAGGTGAGGCAGGAGAAAACTGGGTGTCTTCCAAAGGAGCCCTCAGTCACTTTCATTTTCCCTCCAAGCAGCCCATCAGGAGGGGATATAGGCCCCAGGGGCTGATGGTTCTTTCTGGGAGCTGCTCCTCCTCCACTGCCACTCTATAGCTCTATAGGGGAAGATCTTGTGTCTTGGCAGTTATCTGTGCTGGGTTAGAATCCCCATCATATGTACTCTGGAAGCTCTGAAGCTGTCCCTACTGTCAGGATACTCTACTTTGGTCACTCAGAGCTCCATAGTTTGAAGCTACATAGCATTTGTAAGCTTAGGCCTGGCTTCTGGGACTGCCCATATGAGCCCAACAGCTCTCCAGAGACTGTTCAAGAGTTGCTTCTCTTCTCCAAGTACTCTTTTTGTGGTTTTGTTTCTGAGACAGGGTCTCTCTGGAGCCCCAGCTGACCTTGAACTTGCTATGTAGATTGGGCTGGCCTGGATCTCACAGAGATCCACCTGCCTCTGCCTCTGGAGTGCTGGAATTAAAGGCATGCATCACCATGTCTGGCCCTAAGCACTCTTACCATTGAGAAGGCCAGAGCTCCCTGGAGTTCCTTAGACTAATGGCTCTTGGGTATCACTACCCCATATTTTGTCATATAGATCTGGTGGTAAAGGACCCATCACAGGCCCTGCACCTTATGCAAGGACATGGACTCTGAGTAGGGTAGGGTGTTGGAGCACCTGAGGCCTCTGACTTTTCTCAGAAGGCAGGTAGTGGTGTGGATACCTATATGAATATGCTTATAGGACCCTGCCAGTGGTTAGCTCCTTTTACCCATGTCTAAGTGGGTAGGTGGGCTGAGTAGCTAGCACACGAGCACTGTGAGTGGGACATGGGGAGCTATATGAAGATTCTTTATTTGAGAATGGGCCCAAAGAACTAGATCTAGGGGCTAGAGCATGACTCAGTGGTAGATTGCTTGCCTACCATGCAGGAGGCCCTGAATTCCACCCCCAGTGTCATAAACAAAACAAAGGACCAGAGCTATCCTAATCTCCCCTTACCTCTCATCAGTCCTCCTCAGAAATTATTCTTAGTCCATAGCTATGGGTGCAGGCTGGGTTACCAGAGCCTGGCTTCACCTGGGCAGTGATTGTTCTGAGGTGATGTTCATGATGGCACCAGAAGGGGACCTCCAGGATTTTTGGTTGCAGCCCCACAATAGCTCAGAATCAGCCTTATGCACTGAACATCATGTCTGGGCAGTGTCCATTATCACCTCATTGTGTTCCCTCTCTCTATCCCTCTAGCAACCACCTATTCTAGCACCAGGCAGTGACCCTCCTCTCAGCTAAACTGGGATTCAGGTGTCAGACTGTCATATCCTGTGAGCTGAGCTGGACAGGAGCCTTCCAGCCTTCCTCCCTTCTCTCTGCAGGTCAGGCTACTCTCCCTGCCCCCTGCCTGGCAGTGGTGAGGCTGGGAGCTCTCACCCTCCCTCCAGATGGGACAACAGTGGGGGAGATGATTATAGTCAGTCAGCAGGGTGGCCCTGACCCTGGAGCCTCAAGGCTGGAGGGACTCCCCAAGGCTGTACAGGGCTGCTGTGGGTGTGGCCATCTGTGTTAGGGGAAGGGTGTTCCACGTGAGTGAGTGTCTGCTTGTCTGTGTGTGGCCTGCATGTGTGTTTCTGTCAGGCTTCCAGGGTTTGGGGTGAGGTGGACCCTAGTTTGAGAGACTGCTCAGGTTCTTGGAAGTCAGACATGCTGGCCTCTCCCATGAAGAAATAGGAACTCAGGGGTTGAGTACTCAGAGTCCTCAGGTAAATACGGCCCTCAGTATCCAAGGGAGGGTGGGGTCCCCAAGGCTTCTTTGTCAGAAGAGCTGCAGCCCCAGCTCTGGACAAAAGGAGGAGGGTAATTCTGTTGCTAGACCTCCACTTCAACCTAGCTTGGCTCAGATGGGGCTGCTGTCTACTCATGGGAGGAGCTTGTCTATAGCCTCAGACCTTACAAAGGTGGAGTTACTGGTAGGGCAAACTTTTTTCTGTCAGTATGGGGCTGGCCTGGGTGTCAAATGGACACTATTCTCCCTGGCCTCCTACTTACTTTCCTTAGTCTGCCTGGATCTCAGGCCTCTGGGTGAAGCCTGCAAAGGATGCTGGGTAGTTCCCCATGGTGGCTCTGGTGGGGGCTTGGTTTGGCTCTGTTCCGCCTGGGGGTGGTGAGACCTCCCAGGCACTGCCTGGGCACAGACCTCCCAGACTCCCACCAGCCAGCTCTGGCTGCTGCACAACAGTGAGGCTGGGACCAATTACATAGTCCTGCAGGGCTTGGACCCTCCCACTCCCAAAGGGTGGGGTGGGGTCCCTGTCTAAGGCCATTGTAGCTCCAGGTGGGGGATTCTGCTTTGCAGTCAGCTTTCAACTTCAGATCCCTCCACCCTCCCTCTCACCTCTCTTAGTTCTAAGCTTTGTTGGCCTCCTAGGCTCTGGTGGCTAGAACTGGGGAAAATGAGACTAGGGTCATCCTTGACTTTTCTCCTGGAGAAGTCAGGCCTCTCCTGGAGGAGGGGCCCGATGCCTCAGAACCAGGTGAGTATATGTGACTCTCAGCCAGGAACAGGTCTGTCCTTGATGGGCTGGGCCTTAGCCTAGTATGTCCTCTGGCCCTGTGCTATTTTGTTCCCAGTCCTGGGATACATCAGGCTTCCAAAATTCAGACACCTTATTTCCAGGAAAGGATACATTTAGGAGGCAGGAGTTGCCATGGTTTTATAGGCACCTACAGTATGAGGTTTGAATAGGTGTGTGAATAGGTATAAGCACTTAAAAAAAAAATTTTTTTTTTTGTCTTTTTGAGACAGGGTCTCCCTCTAGCCTCGGCTGGCCTGGAACTCACTATGTAGACCAGGCTGGCCTCAAACTCACAGAGGTCCACCTGCCTCTGCCTCCCAAGTGCTGGAAGTAAAGGTGTGTGCCACCATGCCTGGCTGAGCAGCTCAGTACTTTTAAATTTTGGGTTCTGGGTAAGGTTCACAAGCCCAACTCCCTACAGTCCTGTGGATCCAAGAGTCTCAGAGCAGTTTGAGGGTGTGGGTGCTAGGGTCACTGGATGTTAGGCTGGTGGAGGGGTGGCATGTGTGATCCCCCCACCTAGTCAGAGTGGTTATAGGACAAAGGAGTGATGCTCAAGGCCAAGCGTGGCAGCACAGGGCTTTGATCCCAGCAGTCAGGAGGTAGAGGCAGATGGATCTCTGTAAGTTTGAGACCAGCCTGGTCTACATAGCAAGTTTTAAGTCAGACAGAGGTGTATGGTGAGACTTTGTCTTAAAAAAAAAAGAGTCATGGGCTGGGCATAGTGGTGCACGCCTTTAGTCCCAGCACTTGGGAGGCAGAGGCAGGTGGATCTCTGTGAGTTCGAGGCCAGCCTGGTCTACATAGCGAGTTCCAGCCCAGCTGGGGCTACAGGGAGACCCTGTCTCCAAAGGACCAAAAGAAAAAAGGGAGAAAAAAAAAAAAAAAGAGTGATGCTCAGGCTGTTGTGTGTGGTGTTGGCTTGGCTCTCATCCATTTTGTACCCTCTGACCTTAAGACTGGGTAAGGACAGCAGGGATGGGCAAACCAAATGCAGCCTATTACTGCAGGGTCACCATGCAGGACAATGGGCAGATCAGAGTGCCGCGACGGTTGGGAGCAAGTCACATACAATGGGGTAGCTTTCATGCGTGGGCCAGGGGTCAGACATTTATAAGGCCATTCCCAAATTTTAGAGTTGTTATACTGTGGTGGGCATGTGGTGCCCAGGATGTTATCATAGGCTTTGTTCATTTTAGGGTCAACAGATGCAAGCCTAAGTGTAAAGATGGGCTTGTATGGAGGTGTGCTGGGGCTGCTGCACAACTTTTTGGAGTGCTGTGCTCCAGGATAGTTGCCTGGTCAACTTGTGTCCTCCGATGTAGTTGATGTAGTTGCAGATTTTGTGTGGTAGGCCTTAGCAGCACCTCTGCTCCTGCTGTGCAGGGGCTCCGTGGGAACCTAGCTATGGAGCTAGGCTACTTTGGGTTTCCGTGGCAACAACAGGGAGGAGCCAGGAAACAGCCGCTCAGGAAGGAAGGCTGGCCTCCTGGCCCGAGAGAACCCATGGCTGAGCAGGCGCCAGACATTCTGTCCGGTTGTCCCAACCCCTGCTGGCCGGTGGCCGGTACTCAGCCCATTCCGTTGGCTCCACCCACTGCTCCGCCCCCCTGCCGCGGGACTGCAGGTTTTTGAGTGAATAACTATCTTTATTCTCATTTCCTTGCCTGTCTTGGATCTGTGGGTGTTCCTTTGTTCTCTTTCGTGCTTTGGTCGGATTGATGGTTTTTTGCCGGTAGTGTGGTAAATGCAGACATAGGCAGGCCCCCTGGCTCCTGGAGGGTAGTGTCCCACCCTGAATGTCATACCTGTTAGGCTAGCTCCTCTCTACCCTGCCAGGAAATGGGGAGAGAGGGAAATCAGGACAGAGGAAGAACACACCTGTCCCCTTCCCTCACATCCTTCTCCCTCTCTTTCTTTGTCTTTCTTGCTTGATTCCTTCCTTCCTTCCGTTTTCTTTTCTTTCTTCTTTTTTTTTTCTTTTTTATTTTTTTTCCTTTTTTTGAAGACAAGCTCTCACCGTGTAACTCTGGCTGGCCTGGAACCAGGCTGTTCTTGAATTCACAGAGATCAGCCTACCTCTGTCTCCCTAGTGCTGGGACTAAAGGCATGTTTCTAGTGTTGCTAACTAAAGTGGGCCTGGAATTCTGTGTAGCCCAGGCTAGCCTCTACCTGAGCTCTGGGATTGTAGGGGTGGTTTTCATACCCAATTTTGTATGCTGTTTATTTTGTTTTATGCTTGTGACACTGGCTGGTGACAAGTGTCTTTGGTGGGTAACCAGCTGGTTGTAGGGCAGGTGTATGTTCAGAGACTTTAATTATTGTTCAGAGACAGAACCTGTACATCCATGTGTTCAGAGACTTTAATTATTGCTCAGAGACAGAACCTATACATCCATCTCTTCATTTGGCAATAAGCCCTCTGTTAGCACAACTGTTTTCTGAAGTAGGAATTCAGAAGAGAACAAACAGTCCCAATCCTTGTCCATTCTGGTATGGAAAGGCTGAAAACCAATAAATTCACAAATAAGCTGGAATTTGGGGTCCCTGTTTTGGGAAAGGGCTATGTCAGAGTGTCCACACTGTTTTTCCATGAGGTGACTTTTGAGCCCATACCTGAAGGAAATATGTGAAGGAACCATAGGAGGAGTATGCTATATAGAGGGGGGAGCTGTAAAAAGTCATTTGGGAAGCTGGGCGTGGTGGCGCACACCTTTAATCCCAGCACTTGGGAGGCAGAAGCAGGCAGATCTTTGTGAGTTCAAGGCCAGCCTGTTCTACATAGTGAGTTCAAGGATAGCTGGGGCTACAGGGAGACCCTGTCTCAAAAAGACAAAAAAAGCCCTAGTGTAAATTAAGTACAGAGTAGTGTTTCACCAAACATTCCACAAGCAACACAAAGCCATTCAAAAAGTCACACTAACCTAAGAAATGGTGAATATGTAAAGCGGAAATTTGTTTTTTCTTGAGAATACTATGCTGGGCATGGTGGTGCTCACCTACAATCCCAGTGCTCAGGAAGCTAAGCAGGAGAATTGTAGCACTATTTAGCAAGGTCCTATTTCAAGATTACTTTTTTTTTGTGGTCTTTTTGAGGCAGGGTCTCCCTGTAGCCCCAGCTGTCTTGGAACTCACTGTGTAGAGCAGGCCGGTCTTGAACTCACAGAGATCCGCCTGCCTCTGCCTCCTGAGTGCTGTGATTAAAGGCATGTGCCACCACACCTGGCCTATAAATTATATTTTTTAGAGTCCCAGTGGAGCATCTTGCTCTTTCCTCTGAATGAGACTTGGGGAGAGTTTTGAGTAGAAAGCATGATCTGAGTTGACTTCCCATGGGCTCAGCACAGCTCTGCTGACTGAGACTTAGCTGCGGCTGACTGTCTAGGCTGGGCTTTTTGCAAGATAGTGTGGCAGTCAGGTAGGCTGCCTCAGGACTCCATGGGTTTACTGTCCTCCATTCTTCACCCATTGCCCGTGACTTTGTGGCTGCCTGGGGCTCTTGGGGGAGGAGGATGGAGTGGCCGCCAGGCTGGCGGGCTGGCAGGGCAGGAGGGCGGCATTTCTGGGAATTGTGTGTGGGAAGCACATTGTTAGAGCAAGCCTGAAGCCAGGGCCTCATTGGCCTCTGGGGATGCCTCCTGCCTCTCCAGTACTGCCTCTGGGGGAGGAAGCTGGGCCCTGGCCAGGCTATGGGCTGGCTGGGGACTTTCCAAATAGACATTGCCTTGAGCCTTTGGCTCTCCCCATTTTGTAGACTGGGAGACTGAGGCATATAGAGTTGTCAGTTACACCGGTAAAGCCAGTAGTCACATGCCCAGCCTCTAACCCCTGCCTTTACGCAGCAGAGATCATCAGTGGTTACTGCTCTGTCTGACCACAGAAGCCAAGGAGGACTAAGTGGGTCTGCTTGTGGTTATAGATCCACAGAGCCCTGTAGTTGGGACCTGCAGCTCCTATAGTGGGTTGGACTGTCTGATGGACCAAATGCAGGAGGGGCTACCATAGGGTGGCAGGAGTAGGGTTCAGGATGCTTCCCAGTCTAGTGATGGGAAACAAGGGGCTCCGTGTGAGCTTAGCAGTATGAGTCTTCCCACCCATCACCGCCCTGCCTTGTCCAGAGGGGAAGCATGCAGGCCACCACTGGGGTCAGGGCCAGCTCTGGGCAGGCAGGGTGTTGGGGACACAAATAGAAAAATAAATGGCTTGAGCTTCCGCTCTTTCCTGAACTGAGGGGCAGGCTCTGGGCCAAAGGTTCAGTAGGTCTGGTGGGGCAGACCCTGGGGGTGTTGTCCCTCAAGTAGGACATTGTCTTTCCTTTTCAGACCTTCAAGCTGGGATGTCTTCACCTCAGTCCCCAGGACAGGGCTGTGTTGCCCACTGAGGGCTCTTAAGGTTTGAGACCTCCTGCAGGAAGGGACAACTTTTCCTTAAGGAAACTGTGTATGTGGATATGCTTAGCCTTAGGAAGGTTTGGGGCAGAAGTCAGGCTCCTGGTGGGGTGAACTGTGAAGAAGCTTCATCTGTTGTCATGGGAACTTGGGAAAGCTCCAAGGGGTGGATGGGCCAGGAAGGTCCAGTAGTGAGCAGGTGAGTGCCCTCTCTACCATCTGCAGAGGGCTAAAGTGGAGTCTGAAGGGACAGTACTCTGAGTGAACCCATGGTTCACATATTGTCAGTTTAATAGGGAGGTTTCATAGAGAATGAAGTCCCCCAAATCAGGAAGGTATTTGTGCATGTTTTGAGGTGGGACATAACTACTCTGAGCAAGGGCCTGAAAGTTGGCATTTCCATGGGACCTGGGAACAGGACTTTTTTTGTTTGTTTTTGAGACAGCGTCTCCTCTCATGTAGCCCAAGCTACCCTCAAACTGAATATGTAGCTGAGGATGACCCTGAACTGATCCTCCTGCCTCTGCCTCCCAAGTGCTGAGATTACAGGCTCCTATCTTACCTCCACATCTGTTTCTTTTTTTTTGTCTTTTTTGAGACAGAGTCTCCATATAGCCCCAGTTGGCCCGGAACTCACTATGTAGACCAGGCTGGCCTCAAAGTCACAGAGCTCTGCCTGCCTCTGCCACCCAAGTGCTGGGATTAAAGGCATGTGCCACCATGCCTGGCCATACCTGGTTTTTATGCAGTGTTGGGGATTAATACCCAGGGCTTCCTGCATACTAAGCAAACACTCTACCAACTGAGCTACACCCCCATCTCAGGGAATGAGGTTTTCTAAGGCTGAGGTGTGGGAATATCTAGTTGGTCAGTGCCACAACCCCACAAGTGAGGGCCTCTCAGGACCAAACACGTTTTCATCCTGGCTGCTTTGTTGTCATGGCAAGGGAGTGTTGTCTTTGCTGGGAATCTATTGGATTTCCCTTGGGAAGGTTCAATGCCTGGGCAGGTTTGTGGGCTGCTCCTGCCATCTACAGGCTGCTGCAGCACACATCACTGGGGCCAGTCACAGGGACCCTGGCCAGCTTCTTCATGGGGTCAGTCTTCAGCCAAGTGCAGCATGGCTGAAGAGCATGTGGCTCCCTTGCTACCTGTGCTGTGTTAGGGTTCTCCAAGAAGTAACTCAGTGCTCAAACACAGAGTTCCCTCTTCAAGTACTCGCTTGGTTGGTTTTGGCTCAGATATAGGACACAGCTCCCAGCAAGTGGTAGAATCAGAGTTGGTGTGGAAGCTGTGGAGTGTTCATCCTTCACTGCACCTCTGGAAAATCTTTGTTATCTACAAGGAATTCCATGTTTTTTCCTCATGATGAAGATGTCATAACTGACCACCATCATGTTTTCTATCTAACTGACACTGAAAACTCAAGGCATAGGCAGCCTAGGCCATTTGGAAATACCACTTGCATCTTGGCCTCATGATTCCTGTGGGCTCCACACCACTACAGATAACAGTCCTTTGGCCTATGTCCTCCCATCATCTGTGGCACAAAGGATGGGCAGGACCTGTACTTCTCCCTTGCCTGGACATCTCTATGGATTTCCTGTGGAAATGTCTGAAGATCTGATTGTCCTGCTTTGTTCCCAGTGTGTCATGAATCAGTATGTTTCTGACAGCAGCCTGTCATCCTCACTTCACACGTGGAAAGACTAAAGTATAAAGCAACATGCAGTGCAGAACCTGGGTTTTACACCGTTTGGTTGATTTCAGAGGCTGAGGTCTTGCTCACGAAGCCTCGCCAGCGCGTTGCCCATAATTCTCAATGTGCGCGGCACATGCGCAGAGGCACCAATGACCCAAACGCGGCTCGGACATGGGTGTAGGGCGGGGCGGTGGAGGCGATCTTAGGGAGCAGCGAAGGGCAGCCGTGGGCTGCTCATGTGGGTCGGGTTCCAGACACTCATGCAATGGCGCAGCCCTCAGCACAGCTAGTCCACTTCACCTCACCCCGCCCTCTCCGCGGAGCACCGTAGGGGCTAGTGGGGTGCGTTGTCGGCAGCCAGCGGACTACCCATCCCATCAAGCTGCGCGCGCTGCACAGTAGTCTGGGAGTTGTGGTCCTCCGAGCGGAGACTATGCTTTTCAACGAGTAGCGCGCGGCCACCAAGCGGAGGTTTGGGCAGCGGATCTCGACGGCGGCGGCGGCCCGGGTCGGGCCTGGCCGGGCGGCGCAGCAGGCTCAACGCGCTGCCATTGAGGCGGTGATGGGCAAGGAGGAGGAGATTGCGCGGATCGCACGGAGGCTGGACAAGATGGTGACCAGGAAGAGCGCGGTGAGGGGCGCGGGCCGCCAGGACCCTGGGGCCCCCGCCCCTCCAAGACCCGCCGCACGCACTCGCGGGCCGGACGAAACCCTGCCCGGGCCAAGACCCCCGTCCTCCACCTCCACCTTATCCTGGGACCACCGCTCCACCTTGGACGCCGCGCCGGCCGAGACCCGCCCCCTCCCCGTCGCCCAAGCCGGTGGCCGGGGGCGTTCCTGGCCTAGCCGTTGTCCCTCTGTCTGCCCCTACCCTCCAGAACCAGGTTTCTGTAATAAATTTTTTACCCGCTTTAGCTGGGCCTCAGGCAGCAGCCAGTCGGTGTGGGCAGACAGTAGAGATTTCGGGGTGAGCCTGTGGTCTTGAGACCGCCTCTGCGTCTCGGCCTGGCCACCGGCCCGGCCCTCACCTGGCTTGGGCCGGCGGTTCAGCTCGCCCTCTGCCCTTGGCTACTAGCGCAGCCGTCCAGGAGCACCCTTAGCCAGGGCTCAGCGTGGGTGGGGAGGGACCAGGAGGTGGCCCTAAGGCACACTAAGCATGACCCGCCCACCTTCAGGACCACTCCCGGGGCAACCTCAATGGTGAAGGCGGCTGAGTCACCGGCCTCCGAGGCCTGCGCAGCCTCTCCTGGACGTGGCAGGCAGGGAGGGCTTTTGGGATAAACAGGATTGACCCCTCCTCTTGTTGGTCAGGGTTGGGGGACCAGGTTCTACACTAGGAAGGGGGCGGGGTTAGGCTCCCACTCATCCCTTTCTATTGGAAACAGCCCCCGACTGTGCTCACCAGGGCTGCGGTTGGGCAGCTGAGTGGAAAGCTGAATGGATGAGTGCTGCTTTCCTCTAAGGGGGCAAGCCCAAAGGACAAACGTTGGGAATCCACAGTGGCTAGAGGCTGGTGGAGGCTTAGCATGAATAGAAGACCACGGAGGGGTGGGGCTGTACAGTGAAGATGGGGACCTGCAAAGGTTCCAGCTGGTTGCAGCACCAGAGAGGCTCCTTGTAGATGTTGGTGGCTTGTTTGGCCCTTTTCTGGTGGATGTGCAGGGGTGTTGGGGATGAGTGCCCCTGGCTCAGAGAGCACATCTCTGGAAGTCACCTTAGGGTTGGTAGGTGCACAGACCTATGATCAGGATCTGCGTTGGGTCCCAGAGACCAGGCTGCAGCCCGAGCAGTAAGTCACAGATTGGAAGGTTAGCCTAGTCCCAGCCCCTCCCATTTTCTCTAATAGGGGATGTTTGAATGGATGAGTGGGTCTTCTCTGCCCTCTTGTGGCATGTAGAGACACACACATGCACACATGCACACAGGGGCAAAGTGAGGCAGCTTGGAAAGCAAGGCAGGGCAGGTTTGGGATTTTTAAGAGGCAGGAAGAATCTGCCTGCCATGGAGGTACAACGTGCCTGTAGATCCTGAAGAACAAACAGAGCTTGAGCAGAGGAAGGAGACCAGGTTATCTGTCAAAATGCCCAGGAGAGGAGTGGTTGCCAGTCTGGGGCAGGGATGAATGGAGCCATAGGACTTATAAGTGCTGATTGTGAGAAAAGCTAACTCTTATTTAATTTTTTTTACATTTATTTATTTATTTTGGGGTGTGTGTGTGTGTGTGCGTGTGTGTACATGTGACTGCTGTGACTTGTGTGTGGAGGTTAGAGGACAACTGGTTCTCTCCTTCTACTATGTGGGTTCCAGGGATGGAACTCATCTCTGCCATTTGTACTGAGGATTGAACCCAGGACCTTAACATGCTTAGCAAATGCTATACTGCAGCTCTACCTATGGCCTACTTCTCACTTAAAAAAAAAGATTATTATTTAAAAATTTTATGGCCGGGTATGGTGGCACATGCCTTTAATCATAGCACTCGGGAGGCAGAAGCACGGGGATCTCTGTGAATTCAAGGCCAGCCTGGTCTACATAGTGAGTTTCAGGTCAGTTGGGGCTCCAGGGAGAACCTGTTTCACAACTTTTGTAATGGCTTTTAATTTTATTGTAGTTGTGTATGTGTGACAGTATATGTGTGGAGGTCAGAGAACAACTTGTGAGAGTTGCTTCTCTCCTTCCACTATGTGGGACTCAGGGATTGAACTCAGGTTGTCAGACTTAACAGCAAGTGCCTTTACCTACTGAACCATCTCATGAGTCCTATTATTATTAATTATGGTTGTTTGTATAGAGGCATATGCATATGAATGCAGGTATCTGAGGAGGTCAGAGGTGTCTGATCGTCCTGGAGCTGGAGTTACAGGTGGTTGCCAGCCATTGATGTGGATGCCGGGAACCAAACTCAAGTCCTTTCCAAGAGCAGTGTGTGCTCTTAACCATTGAACCATCTCTCCAGACCTTTTTACTTTGTTTCCTAAGTTGCCTAGGCTGATTTTGAACTCACTTTGTAACACAGGCAGGTCTTGAACTTTTGTTCCTCCTGATTAAACCTTTCCAGTATCTGAGATGACAGGCCTATAGGCCTGGCAAATTTTGACTATGATGCTGCAACTTTGCAATCAATGATTGGAGTGGAGATTCCTGAGAGTTTGACCCTTCTAGGGTCAGCCCCTGCCCTGCTGGGTGGGTACTTTGAGGAGAGAATACTATACCACCAGGGCATGGACGAGACAAGGCCTGGGTTACATTTCTACCTGGGTGTCTTTCCATATTGGGCAGGAGCTGGGGCATTTCTACGTCAGTGCTTTGGTCAGTGACCTGGTGTGGTTACTGTGAGGTCTGTAGGTTACCACAGGTACAGGGTAGGGATCCATCTCATCTTTGAGAACACTGTTGAACTGTTTGCCTTTATTCCTACCCTATAGTAGAGGCAGTAAAAGGACCTGTTAATGGTGTAGGAACATGTGTGCAGTGCTCTGGGCATTTCAAGGTGGGGGAATGACTTTTTTCTGACATGTAAATTGTCATTGGCTTGTGTCTCCCATGTGGGCATGAGAAGGTCCTTTATGAAGTCCTTTATGAAAGTCCTTTCCCCTTCCAGGAGGGAGCCATGGACCTACTGCGGGAGCTGAAGGCCATGCCTGTTACCCTGCACCTTCTCCAGGTAGGTTCTTCCTGCCCTAGCCTGGAATGGCTACAGAGACAGCAATGTCAAGGGCATCTAGCAGGGCTCCCCACACCACTCACATAGGGCTTGGTTGGCACAAACACTTGTTCTGAAGCGAGGGTTCCTGACTTTCTCTGGTACTCAGTGAGGTAGCAGGAGATGCCCTGGGTTCTAAATGGGATAACAGTCTTTGGGAGAAGTGTTTGTCTGTCCTTAGCCAGTCCTCAGCCCTTCCATTTGGGAGGCAAGAGTACCTCTATGAGGATCTGCCCCTAGGGCAGGCCCCTATCAGTTCCAACCCAGGTCACTTGCCTTGCAGTCTACCCGTGTTGGGATGTCTGTCAACGCCCTGAGGAAGCAGAGCTCGGATGAGGAGCTTATTGCGCTGGCCAAGTCCCTCATCAAGTCCTGGAAGAAGCTCTTGGGTGCGAGTCAGCTGGCTTCTTGCTGGTCAGCATAGCACAGAATGCTGGCTGTGCTGCCCTGATCTCGCCTACCTGGTAGTGGGATGCAAAAAACTTGGAGCAGGAAGTACCTATCTCTGGGCTGAAAGTGGAGGATGAATGATGGAAGATGGATGTCATCTATTGTGGGGAAGGGGTAGCCTGGGAGGCATGACTGTTGAGAAAAGGGTGTATGTTGGGGAGGAGGGTTTGAAGCTGCAGGAGGTCAACAGAGAAAGAAGTCCAGATTAGGATGCTCCAGGGAGTCCTTCCAGATGAAGGTAGAAGAGGTAGGACCACCACCCAGGGAAGAGGTGAAATGGGTAGAAGTATAGCTCTTTCTGGGGACAGTGTACTACTAGGCTGCAGATATATTTCTGTTGATTAGGAAGGCAGCCTTTCTTGGGCTGTCTAAACCCGTGAGACACGTCACAGGATCTGCAGTCATATAGCCATCAAGAGGCTATCAGAGTGTGTCTTGGTCCCTAGTACAAGTCTGAGTCAGGCCTCACCCATGGATTCAGGAGGAGCCTTGTGAAATACATGCTTGGTCTCTGGCCAGGATAGGCAGAAAGGTGGACTCTTAGGGGTCCCATAGAGGGTTGCTTGAGTGGGGGCTTGAGAAGGGAGGGTCCTGAGGAAGCTGGTGGGCTTGATGGGAGCAGAGAGGAAAGTCTGATGGCCTCATGGCACCTTGCTTATCTTCTGGGCTTGGGCAGTAGGGACAATGGTCTGGCTGAGGCAGGCCAGCACTTGGCTGCCTGCCCCTGACCGACTAGTCTATCCTATCCCTTTTCTGGTAATGATAGATGTTTCTGATGGCAAAACCAGGGATCAAGGAAGGGGAACACCTCTGCCAACATCGTCCTCAAAGGATGCCTCAGAGGCCATGGATCTCAGGTAGCACACCTGAAGGCAGGTACACACATTCCTGCTTCTGTCCTCAGTTCCCCCAGTGGGAAAAGGATGCTGATGTCCATGTGCGTGGGTAATTGCCTTGAGGGAGGGGCCCTCTCTAGGCCGCCATTCACAGGGTTGGTCAGCCTCATACTGGATACTGTTCGTTGCTCAGTCCCTTTCCCAACCATCGGAAATGGCTGGCTATGTCTGCCTGGCTGTCAGTGGGACCCGATACCTTCTTTTTTATAGGGAGATGCTGCCCATCAGGAGCCAGTCTAGGCCCAGGACCCTCTGCTTGCTTCCTAGACTATCATATACCTTTACTTAGCAGGACTAGAGTGGGATCCCTCCTGCAAATGCTGCCCAGAGCTAGAGTTGGGCCTAGCTCCTATCTCTACATTCAAGTGGGACCACCACTGCCCTAAGGTTGTCTGGTCCAGCCCTATTACCATGGAGTCTAGGGGTACTTCCTATAGGCTATAGGTGAGAAGCTGCTTTGACTAGATGGTAGCAGTGGTCAGAGAAGCTGGGCCCAGACCAGGCAGGCTGATCTCTGGACTCTTCCCAGCAGTTCTGGTGTAATGTTACATTCCGAGTTCACTAACACACTAGCACATATAGTTGATTTTGTCCCAGAAAGCTACCTGATATTGCTGGTTTCTAGAGGGGGCATAAGGAGAATAGGCCATTGGGAGAGAGTAGGTCATTGGGTAGTCCCGTTTTGGACCCAGTCCTGAGGAGACCTTTGCCTAATTTGTGTAGAGGGGTTCACCTTCAATATCAAGAACTGGTTTTGGGTGACTCTCACTTCATCTTTACCCCAGGCAACTAGAGGTCTTTGCCTGGCCCTGACTTGCCATCAGCAGAGAGGTATTCACTGTGGCTCCTTGGCCTCTTGGGAGGCAGACACCTTGGAGGTGGCAGGAATATCACAGCCCATTTTAACTAGGGAGTGCTGCCCAGACAGTGTTGGTGAAGGATCTGGCACCCTCTTCTCACTTGGGGAGTAAGCTATGACCCATTGGGGACCTTGTAGCCAGTGTTCTGCTCTGGCTAGTGGGGCAGAACACACAGGCACTGTAGGCTGCACTAAAGATAGTTGAAGTCACTGGCCCTGTTGGGGTCTGTCAGGGTACAGCAAATGGGTATTAGAGGTGGGCACAGTATTCTGACATCTCTTCTGGGGATCACCTGCAGCTTTGAGTCTGATCCCAGCAGGCCTTGTTTCTCTAGCTGTAAGAGGCCAGATCCACCTAGGACCCCAACTACTCCAAGGATCACGACGTTTCCCCCAGTGCCCATTACCTGTGATGCTGTACGCAACAAGTGCCGTGAGATGCTGATGTTGGCTCTGCAAATGAACCGTGAGTACTACAAGTCCTGGTTCTTGATACATGCCTGAATTCACAGGGTAGCCTGGGCCTCTCTCTGTTTCAGAAATTGTTGCCCTGTTCTTTAGCCTATTGTGACCTGGGGAGGAGGCAGGGATCTTTGGAGTCACCAGAAAACCTGGATCTTGGGCAGCATCTCCCAGGAATGCAAGTGTCCCATCTATGTTAGGGCACTATGTAAGCAGAGGGGTGGCAGGTGGAAAAGGCCAGCAGGGACAACTAGTGAGGGCTCCCTTTTGCAGACGACCATGTGGCTGTTGGTGCAGACTGTGAGCATCTGTCAGCTCAGATCGAGGAGTATATCCTTTGTGAAGGGTATACAGGGCCAAAGGCTCCTGATGGAGTTTGTAGGCCACTGGGCCTGGCTTCTCTCTAGTGGCTGCTGGACACCACTGCTGAATTTCCCATTGCCCTCCCTGGGTGGTCCCCTGACCTTTTCTGAGCCCTAAATGGGCAAAGGGCTGTGACTACCTGCTGGAAGGATCTGGGTCTCAAACAGGAATGGGTCTGGAGGAGGCACAGCACTATAGTCCCTCAGGGCCTGGGTGGGTAGACTGATTTCCATGTGGCTGGGAAGAACACTCCTCACAGGGCCCACAACTGGGCGGGTGGAGCTCAGAAGCCTCAGATGAGTCCTTAAATGCCTGCACGCATCTTCCGGGATGTGGGAAACACAGACATGAAGTATAAGAACCGTGTGCGGAGTCGCATCTCCAACCTGAAAGATGCCAAGAACCCTGGCCTGCGGCGGAATGTGCTATGTGGTGCCATCACACCCCAGCAGATTGCTGTGATGACATCTGAGGTGAGCTCCATTGGAAGAGTTGGGGACGAGGGTTGCTTTTGCAGAGCTGTAGGCTGAACACTTGGCCTTTTCCTCAGGAGATGGCCAGTGATGAGCTGAAAGAGATCCGTAAGGCTATGACCAAGGAGGCCATCCGTGAGCACCAGATGGCCCGAATGGGTGGCACGCAGACTGACCTGTTCACTTGTGGCAAATGCAGGAAGAACAACTGTACCTACACACAGGTGGGGTCCACTGTACCTTTCTTGCCTGGGACCTCAGGGTACTCTCATCCTTCTTGGAGCTCACCTGTGGCCTCACCTCCACTGGCCTGGGATCCTGTGCCAGGGCTGGGTTGCCTGGCCCTAGCAAAGAGTAACAGGAATGTGGTGTACTACCTGGTAGTGGCTGCAGGACCCTCCCTACTGTGGAGATGGAGGCTGAGGTGCTCTGGGGAGAACATGTATAGACTCCAAGAGATGTTGGGGGCTTGGGAAAAGGAGAGTGGATTGAGGTGATCTGTCTGATTGAGGCTGCGGAAACTGCCATCATCCCCCATGGGCTGCAGGGGTCTGGCCTTGAGGGGCCAGCTCAGTTCTGCTACAACAGGCTCTTTGGGTAAGGTTTTTCTGGATCCTCCAGAGATGGTCATGGCCATTTGGATCTCTGTTGGTCCCTCCACTATCGAGGCCCTCCTGTTGGTAATCTTCCTGTCCTTAGCCAACATTCTGGGTTCCACTGAGTTAGTCCTTTAGTCCCACAAAGGCCTCTGCCTTTGGTAGGTAATCCACCTTCTCCATAGGCCTAGCTCTAGAAAGTTAGTCACTGGGCAGCCTCAAATCAAGTCACCCATAGAGACTAAGGGCTGTGAGACCCTTCTGTAGCAGAACCTGGGATTTAGCCACCTGTTCCATAGGTGCAGACCCGTAACTCTGATGAGCCCATGACCACCTATGTTGTCTGCAATGAGTGTGGGAACCGCTGGAAGGTAGGTGGGTGAGCCCAGGATCCTCAACCTACAGTCTTGTTCCCTGAAGGTGGGGTATCTCAGCCTATGTGGGGGTCTGAGGTAGGAACCATGAACCACTGTGTCCAGCCAGCCTCCTAGAACTATATGGAGCTCTTAGCCTGGGCAAGCCCTGTCCTGTATCTGCCCTGGGTGGGTGGGAAGTCATCTGATTTCTTGTTCAGTTTCCTTGCCTTCCTGCAGTTCTGCTGAGCCCTTATACTGATGTGCTGTAGCCCCGGGCATGGCTATCATTGCCTCTCCTGCATTCTTGGTGGATACAACTTCTCTGAAGACCCCCAGAAGGTGGCATGCCTTGCCCCTGCCAGCCAGCCTGATGTGCACCTTTCTGCCTTTTGCCCCTTATTACCCTCAACATTAAATGTTTTCTTTTGCCATCTTCTGGCCTTGCTTCTGTTGGGCTCTGTCCTACTGCTATGGACACCTTTCTTCCCTGGGGTCAGGTGGCACTTGGGCTCAGATGTTGGGTCAGAGAGATTACTTAGACATGTGATTCTAGGATACTGGTGCTAGAGCTCGTGTGTGCCCCACTATGCTGTGTGGGAAGGTGGGGAGCATTTCATGTAGGGCTTACTAGACTAGGATCCTGCCTAACATTCACTCATTCTCATAAGGCATGGCAGCCCAAGGGCCTAGTGCCCCTTTCAAGATGATTTGCTCCATCCTGTGCTCTGTTCATCCGTGGGGGGGGTGGGGGGTGGTCAGGGTCTCTGGGTTGAGATCAAGTCTAGCTTCAAATTGCTAAAGCTCCCAGCAACTTGGAGGAACAGAGTAGGGAGAGCTTGCTTCATAGGGTCTGAAAGAGGAAGGTGACTGTGCCCAGCACCTTTGGGAAGGCCATACCATTAGCCTTGCCCCAGCCAGCCCCCGGGAGACTTTTCATTCAGTATACAAGGGCTGGGGTCATCTTAGTTGCATCTCAAACCCTTGTGGGATGCTGGCCCACTTCAGGGTTGTGGCCAGGTCCTAGAGCCACACCTTGGGCAGGGTCCAAAACCACCCACTGAGGCCACTACTGAGGCTGGGCCCAGGGCAGTCTGGATGACCCTCTTCTCTAACCTTTACCCTGATTGTGGGATACACAGAAGCTTCTGTTTTAAAAAGGTCAATACTAAATCAAGTTTTTAGGATGGAGGAATACAGATGAATGGAAGTTTTTTTTTTTCTTTCTTTTTTATATAAAATGTAAGGAAATGTTTCCAAGTTTAAAGTTCATGAACATATAAAATATAATTGGGCCCTGTCACTGGAGTCTGATTCTGAGGTCCTACATATTGTTCTATTGTTCTGAGGAACAGACAGCTCTTTTGCTACAAACCTGTTGGCAAAGAGGCTGTACTCCATGAGTACATGTTCTGGACACATGACTGGTCTGCAGCACCTCCCAGGAGGGCACCCAGTAGGGGCAGGCCAAGGGCACTGCACGTGTCACTGGGATTGGGTCTACTTCCAGCTAGCCAGGTGGGGCGGAGTGTGAGCCCTCAGTTTGCCCATAGGAGTGGAGCATCCGTATGGCAGCAAGTGACCTAGGCCTCAGAGGAGGACTGTGGGGCCCCCCGGAGCAGCAGAGCCTGGTAGGTAGGGGAGCTGAGGAAGCGAGGATAGGAGTCCCGGTGCATAAGCGTGTAGATCTGCAGTTGTGCATCATCAAATGTGTGTGCAGACGGCTCCTGCATCTTCCTATTGATGCCCTCTCGCACACGGGAGTCCAGGCTCACCTGTGTGGTGGGCACCAAGGTCAGGGGGGTGCCCTTCCCAGGCCACCCCCACTCATCCCCGCAGCTGGCGCACCTCCTTGGGGGACAAGATGGACACATAGTCCTCGTAGATAAGTCGTGCCTTCTCGTCCACCACATGTTGGTTGGCCTCTGCCTTTAGTTCCTCACAGGCCAGCCAGAAGAGCATATTCTCTTCACTGTATTCTGTACGCAGAAATGCTCGGAACACACTGCGGCCGGTAGGACTATGCATCAACTTGTCGAAGGACTGTGCCCAGCTCTGTACCTCCTCAGGGCTTGGTGGAGTGCTGCAGCCATCAGGGCCAGACCATATCAGACCAGACACAGACAGACAGACAGACACACACACACATACAAAATGGTGGCTGTACTCACCAAACTTCACAGCTGGGGAGGGGCTGCAGCTTGCTTTCCCGAGTGGCCTGCCAGGCTCGCTGCCGTTCTTGGTTCCTAGTGGCAAATGAAAGTGGCACTACCTTATGCAGCTGGGTTCTCCACATGCCATGTAGCTCTATGTGGGCCTTGGGATATGGATGTCTGGCACAGTAAGTAAACCTGCTGCAGCAAAGGGAGCCCCTAGAATCTTCACACTTTCCTGCCCCTCACTAAACTAGCTTATCTGTATTGCTGTTCTGGTTACCATTATGGCTTCTTTCCTGGTCAGCAGTTGGTCTCAGGTTCTTGGTGCCCCTCCACCTTCCTGTACAGCTGGGTAGGACTCTACTCCTCAGCCTTGTCTCAGCTCATTAATTTCTTGAAGAGGCCATTGAGGGAGCCACACTAGGCCCAATGTCAGCAGTATGACTCATTGGCTGATACAGGGAGAAAGCCCCTCCTATGTATCCATACCTGTCCAGTCCTAGATCCTGATCCCTGCGCCTCTCTCTAAGGAAAATGTCTTCTCTGTCAGTCCATGCCCAGCTGGCCTTTTTGCCAGCTCAACCCGAAAGGTGTGAAAATAATTCAGTCCCCTCCAAGCCTGGCTTCTCAGCAGCAACACAGCTCAAGCTTTCTGCTCCTGTCCTATCCCTTAGACTCATAACCAAGTTCCCACTGAACCCTAACTATTCATGCATCAACCCCTGTTGTCTTGCCTGCACACAGGCCATGGTGGCTTGTTGTTCAGTGGATCCCACTTTGGGTCCCTCAGTCTATGTAGGGCCCAGGTCTCTGTAAGGTGAGAAACTTCCACCAACTTTCCCATTCCTAGGAAACCCTCCCTGTTGCTACCTGGAGGCTACTCCTGCCAAGCCAAGACCCCAAACATCTTTCTGCCAAAGGCTAACTGTTCCTTTGTCCCAGTTTCTGCTCAGATGTGCCCCACATTTCAGTCTCTGGTCTGGGCAGTTCTCAGTGGTCTGGCCAGGTGTATGGTGAATACATGGGTGCTATGTACATGCAGTTTACCTGGCTCCTACAGAGAGCATATCCACAGGACACCAGGTAAAATAGGGCCATACAAAGTCGCCTAGGGAATTTGCACCACCACTACCAGCCAACAGGGTTCAGCAGTCTCTGGATAGGGCTATGTGGTGGCAGGGGCACCTGTCTGAAAATGGTTTCTTGGAAGGCTCTGGAGAACAGGCCACATCTGGCCATACCACTGAGAGCTTCCCAGATGACCCTCCTTAGCACCACATACTCCAGTGCCTCTGTTTTGTGAGCTGCCTTCCAGGCTCACATACCCTACTTCAGCCTCTCTTATGCTGTCACCCAGGCTCACATACCCATTCTGTGGCTCACGAGCCATGTATCCTAGCCCATATACCCTGGATCTGCCCAGTGAAAGCTGTGACATGTCCCCCTCCCCCAAGCCCTCTGCCCCAGGTCTACATACCAAGAGCAGCTGCAGCAGCAGCACCAGCACAAGCAGCAGGGGTTGCGACTTGGGGGTCCTGGGGGTGCTGCATCATGGCTGGACATCGAGGGGGGCCTGTCTGCCTCCTCTGGCCCTGTGTGCTAGGGAACAGGGAGCCACCTCAGCTTCTAGTCCAGAACCCATTGGACCCCATGTCTCTGCCCACCTACCCAACTGGCTGTGCCCCCAAGGGTATGACCTCTTGGGCATCAGGTGTTCAGGAACCATTTGGGGTGGGGAATGGCATACCTGCTTCTCAGCCTCATGCGGGGTGGGCATGGGTAGATGAAAGGTTGTCCAGGCTCCGTGGTGCCAGCTCTAGACCCTCACTGCAGCCTGGGAACCTAGGTGATCTGGGGAGAGGTAGTTCTAACTGAGGTCTGTAGCCCTGGCTCCCCTTGAGCCCTCTGCCCTCCTCCCCCAGGACTCCCTTAGAGGGACCCCCATCTGAGCCCTGCTTTATCCTTCTACCCCAAGCTTGAGTGCTTATAACAGGTGGAGGTGCCTAGGTCAGTGAAGAGGGGGCTACTGCCACTGGACCTCCTAGATGAGGCCCCCACAAGGTTCCAAGACACCCTATCTGCTCTGCTCCTGAGAAGCCGGAAGCCTGGGTTCCTCTTTCTTGACTTCCGGCTCTTAGCCCCTCCCAGAGGGACTGGAGTTGGTATGGAGGGTGCTAGACATTTTGACCCCACTCTCTTTAGGGGTAGGGAGGTGGGTAGAGTTGCTGCCCTGAGGACTGCAGAGGATTAGGTTCTGAAGCACTGTTATTAAAGTCGGACGTAGAATAGGACTTCCTGAAGGTGTGAGGAATGGGGGCATGCACTGGTGAGGATGTGTGCTCAGGGAACAAGTTTCTATGGTCCTCAGCCATGTCAGCTACTAACCCTCCATCCTGGTTTCCCTCTGTCTCTCTAGGATACAGAAAGTATGTGTGTACTATCTATGGAAGCTAGGGTGGCAGTGTGGGGCATCAGCTGCACAGATGGAGCCTTGGGCTCTCTTTGCGGGGGGTTTTCACCTGGTTTATCCTTTTTGGTGTTTGGACTGTACCTTGAGGGGGGAGTGTTCGGGAACCTTCTAGGCCACTCAAAGCTGACCACAAATTCCAGTGTTCCCAGGGTAAACAAAGCAAGATATCCAATCAGCACCCTGGCAGCAGTTCTGAATGCCTCCCCTCCCCCTACCTGTGCCCACTTCTCCAGAACTCAAGTCCCCTGCTTTGTCCACTTCCCTCTCTCTCACCAGCTTGGGGGCTCACTTTACTTTCTCAATTTCCACCATCCTATTGCCCCTCTCCCCCAGCAGAGATCTTGTAATCCTGTTTCTGCCTGAGCTGGCGTCTACAGGCTCCCAGGGCCTTGTGAAGGTAGCAGTGAAATGGGAAAGTGAGCTCTGTACATTGAGGGGAACCTCACCACCTGTCTCTTCCTGAGATGATGAGTTCCCAAGTCTCCAGCAAGCACACCAGGACACGAGTTGAACTGAGCTTCTAGTGAAAGGAAGGGGTGTGGCAGAGCCTGAGATCTGGCATCTCCCTAGAGGGCTCTTCTTCCTCCGCACCCCACCCTGCACACTGTCCCTCAGAGGCCTCACCACCAATCAGCTGACTGGACAGGGAACCACATAGGGTGTGGGCCTGGGTACTGGGGCCCAGTGGGTGCAGAGGTGGGAGCCTTGCTCTTTTTCCCAGCACAGGTTCTTGTCCTGGCTCCCTGCACCCTTCTCAGGTCAGTTGGGACCACCCATGTCGCCCAGGGTGCCCTCCCTTCTATGGGAATGGGGGGTAGGAACGAGGACGGCATGGGTTCTTCCTGCCCCTTATCCAGGAGGGCTCATTCCCTTCGGCTGCCCCTTAGGCTTTGGCCTCCAAGTCTGGGCTGAGAGGCCAGATGCAGCAAGTCTGGTCCCTGGGGACAGACGCTCCCTGGGGAATGGCTTCCGCGGTGCTCCACAGAAGGCGAAAGAACGGCCAAGCCCATCCAGTCCAAAAAAATAAGAAAATGTGGCAATTCCTGAAAAATGTCATAATCTTTGGGAAGGGGGCTGACAGAGGGACACCATTCCTACACTTCATCAGTGCCCCAGCTCTGCCTCCAATGCAGGCCAGGCCTCTCTACCATGGCCAAGCCGGCTGCCCTAGCCCACCTGTGGATGATGGGCCCCCATCCACTTCCTGCTTTCTGCCCGTGGGATCTTCTGGAGGGCTTGTCTCTTTGCGGTCCCTCTCGCAGGCTCTGACGTCCCCACCCCTTCCTTAAGGAACTCGCCATAGTGCCCCACTCACCAGTGACCCAAAGGCGGATGGGGATGAGAGGGCCAGGTTCGATCTGGGCCCCACCCTGGTTGCCGAAGGGGCGTGCTCCGAAGCAGCAAGCACTCCAGAGACCTCAGGAGGCACTCCTGGGCGGTCCGGAGGTAGGTGGGCGTGCGGAGTTCCGCTCCACTGGGGCTGGGGCTGGGGACGCAGCGCCTCCCCTGCAGTTCGCAGGGCAGAAAGGTTGGCGGACCCAACTCGAGGGATAGGGACCGTGGCGGACCGGGTGTCTCGTGTGGCCCCTCCCCACCAGGCTAGCGGGGCGGGAGTCGCGGAAACCTGGGTTCTTCCGGTCCCCACCTTTGAGCAATCACTTCCCAAGGCTCGGAGCTGAAAAAAAAAGGGGAACCTCGCTACGGCTTACCCTCCCCCACGCGCAAGGGGTGGGGCTCGAGTCCCACAGTGACCCAGGTCCACGTGGACCGGTCGCTTAAGTCCTGGACCGGAGCCGGCGCCCACACAGCCCGGGCCAGTCCCCTGTCTAGCGCTCCAGGCGCTCTCACCGCCGCGTCGCGTCCGGGTGCCACAGCCGCTCCGCCGAAGTCCCGCTGGTCGCCGGGGAGGGGGCGCAGGCGCAGTGCGCAGGCGCCTCCGCGGCACTTCCCCAAAGAGAGGGGCCGGGACTTCCTTGAGTAGGAGCAGCTGCTGGCCCGCCGTGCCCCGCCCCGTCCCGCGCTCCATCCGCTGGTTGCGAGTCGCCCCGCAGTAGCGTGGGGTGGCTCTGAGGGGTGAGGCGCGAAGACAGTGAGCTGATGGCGCCCCGTTCTGGTCAGCTGGGTCCACTATTCCATTCAAGGGGTCGTGCAAGTGGGTCACCAGACCTGGACCCCCTGTGCTTGTCTGGGTAAGAAGAGGACTGATCAACCCTTTGCCTTTCTGAGCCTGGTCTGTAACGTAGGGGTCATGAGCCTGCCACCCTGCTGTGGAGCTTGGTGGGACTGCGGGTCCTGGTTCTTGCATCCAGTCAGCCCAAATGTCTCTAGGGCCTGGCTGAATTCCTACTGACCCCTCAAGCTGCTCCAAGATAGCCTTTGCCACAAATGCCCTGCGCTTTGGCCAACTCTGCTGGTCCCTTGTGATTGGGTGCAGATGTGAGTTACCTCATTGTCCCAGCATGCTCTGGGCCAGTGTCCAGAGGCCCTGACCCTGCGTTAGACATGGTCTGTAGAGTGTCTGTGGTACCTCTTGCCATGCCATGTGACTCCCACCCTCCCCAGCTCAGGAACACAGCCTGATCAGTTCAGGTGTTTAAGATCTTGCTAACAAAATGTCTTACAGTTGCTTAAGTTGTATGTGTGCACACACCACACAAGTCAGAGAGGCAAAGCAGAAACTTCACATGAGCTCTTCATTCACCTGACAAGCCCTTGGAAACCCCTCCCCCGTTGTGGACTAGGCAATGAGGTGGACAGAGTAGCCTGGAGCTGACTGCAAGGGGCTAGGGTGGGAGACAGACAAGAAGGGGACTGGTGGCACAGGATATGGCAGCTCAAACCCTTTAATTCCAGCTTTTGGGAGGCAGGAGCAGGTGGATTTCAATGACTGCAGGCAAGTGGGACTACACAGTGAGACCCTGTCTAAAAGAAAAAAGAAAAGAAAGGGACAGGGTAAGAGGTGAGGAGGAGAGCTGAGGAGGAGAGGGTGTTGCCATGATGCTCAGGGCACCTAGCTAAGCAGAGATCAATGGATGAGAGCCTGAAGCTGCCAGGCTGCCTGTAATGTATACCCAAGGACTTGATGACTTGACCACAGAAACCTGTGGCTGCCACACTGATGAACCATCAAAGCTGGACAGAGACCAGGAAGCCTATCTGGACAGGAACAGTTACTCTAGTCTAGATATTAGTCCTGAGAGGCAGGTACAGGTCAGGACAGGGAGGCCCAGTGGAAATGGGCCAGCACCTGGTGGAAGCCACATAACATGGCTGATTCTTCAGTGTTGTCTTTTTTTTTTTTTTTTTTGTAAATTCTTCAGAGGATACAGTCTATTGGGCCTGTGCTTTTGCTTCTCTGTAGGGTTTCCTTCAGGTAGAGGCATCCTCTGGCACTTTTCCTAGCATCATTTGCAGACCCAGTCCCTCCATGATGTGGAGATATAAGGAGTTCCCTTAAGATGATCTGACACTTTATTTTTGTTTTTTTGAGATAGGGTCTCCCTGTAGCCCCAGCTGGTCTAGAGCTCCCTATGTAGACCAGTGGCCTTGAACTCACAGAGATCCACCTGCCTCTGCCTCCTGAGTGCTGGGATTAAAGGCGTGCACCACCACGCCTGGTGGGTGTTGTCTTTCTATTGTGGGAATAATGCGTGTGTGATCAACTGGCTGTGTGTGGAAGCCAGTATGCTTCCCCTGCTCAGGTAATTTTTACACCCCTATCCCCTCGTTCTCTGCCACCTTAGGTCTGCTGTCCACTCCATCATTATCTTCCCCTTGGCACAAGTCAGGCCCCTAAATCTAGGAGGCAACCAGGAGAGTTCAGCATGTGATGCCAGTGGGGATAGAACTTGATCCCATTATGCTCTGCTTCAGCACAAGAAACCCAAATTCTTCAGAGGATACAGTCTATTGGGCCTGTGCTTTTGCTTCTCTGTAGGGTTTCCTTCAGGTAGAGGCATCCTCTGGCACTTTTCCTAGCATCATTTGCAGACCCAGTCCCTCCATGATGTGGAGATATAAGGAGTTCCCTTAAGATGATCTGACACTTTATTTTTGTTTTTTTGAGATAGGGTCTCCCTGTAGCCCCAGCTGGTCTAGAGCTCCCTATGTAGACCAGGCTGGCCTCGATCTCACAGAGATCCACCTGCCTCTGCCTCTTGAGTGCTGGGTCTAATACCACTACATCCAGCCAGTCTAACACTTGAAACAGAGCTCTTAGGCCAGTTTTACTAGTTGTTTCAGAGTGCTGACCTCTGTTCTCAGCCCTCTGCCATCATGTAGCTGTATGGAGTACTCACTTTGTGGGGTACTCTATAAACCTTCAAATATCCTTATAACCCCCATTTTAAAGATGAAGAAATGCAAGGTCAGAGAAGTGATGAAACAATGTGTGACTTTACTGAACAGATAGTCTTTCTAGGCACTTGGCCAATCGCCAAGGCTAAAATCCTGGGGCTTAGACTGCAAGGAGGTCGGTCAGAGGAGCCCAGGGCTGGCTGTCATCCGGTGCAACTATCTTCAGAGGTCTGCATTTGGATGTGTGTGACCATCACTCCTGGATGAAGAGCCTGCTTCCCTTTGCCGTCCATATCCCTGACCAAACCCACCATCTCCCTGCCTTTGCCCTCCTTCCCCCGACTGAAACTCCCTTCCCTCCTCCTGGGAGCTGCTTCTGACTTGTGAATGTTGCAGTCTGGGCTTGGATCAAGGCCCAGGACAGAAAGGGCAAAGGATCAGGTGCAGGGGGAGAAGGGCTGAGGAAACAGAGAGCTGCAGAAACTGGCCATCAGTGAGCAAGATTCCTTTTGGATCCCAGTTCTGATCTCTTTCTCACTCTCCAGATCTGTTTTCTGCTCCATGCAGAGCCAGTGGGAGCCCACTTGCTGGGGCAGGAGCTGACTACTACCTTGCCGCTTCCCCTTCTGTGCAGTTTGCTGAGTGGAAGCTGGGAAGGAGGAAAAGGAAGAGGGACCAAGAGACTACAGGCTCTGCAAAGATCTCATGCTGGGGAGAAGAGGAAGAGCTGCCTAGAAGCCAGTATTTTCAGAGTTCAGTGGTCTGAACAGGATGGGTGACTTCCTTCCTGTGTTTCATGTTTGGTGGGCTGAGTGGGCACAGGAGGTTATTCCTGATGAAAGGGAGGCCAGAGGGTGAGTCTTCTGTTCTACCACTCAGGGACCTTGGAGGGCGGCATCCCATTCACGCTCTTTTGGTCTTCAAGGCATGGCTGGACTATCCAAAGCCAGCTTTGGCTTTGTAGTCCCAGAATGCCACCCTAGTCCTCAGGTAGAATGACCCTAACTCTGGAAATTGCCCTGACTTCTGGAGGTGCTGGTGCCTAGGCAGACGCTTCCCTTGTCCTTTTACACACTGGGAGCCCCCGTGGCCCTGGAGGGCACTGGTTGCCTGATGGGTGCGGGCAGGGTTGGGAGATAGGGGTGCCCTGTGCCATTACTTTGACATCCACCCATTCACATTTCCTTGTCAGAAGAGCCCCTCTCTTGCGCCCTGAAGTCTGTGACTGTGGTTGTGGGAGAGGTGGCGTTCATGCTTACCCCTTCCCTGCTGGGGGCCTAGGGGAAGAAGAGGGAAAAAGACCGGAGAACCCTCCGAAAAGAACTTTATGTGGGATGGTGGGGAGCCCCTGCAACCCGGGGTCTCTGTAGGTTGCAGTCAACACTAGAAGAGGCTGCCATCCACGGGCTCCTCCAGGATAGTCTCCACATGCCTCCGCTGTGGAGAGAGGGGCTGGAGCCAGTGTATGGCGAGGCCCAGGGCCCTCCCCACCCATTTTCTAGGCTTACTGGCACCTCTCGTTGGTCTAGGGGATCTGGGATCTTTGTAGGCTTCAGTTGCGGTGGTAGGAAGAGTTCTAGCCGGATGGCAGCGCGCGCGGATCCCTGCCGCTGGATCAAGAGCGTGATCTCCTCCGCCTGCGGACATCAGCTAGCTGAGGAACACTGCAGGCCAACCAGCCGCGACCCGCCAACTGCCCCCTCCGGCAAGCGGGTGGGCCGACTTTCCAGGACACTCCCTGCCCTTGGCCTTCTGCCCACCCGCATGCGGGTGTAGCGCAGCTGCAGGGCGCGGACTCGACTGCGGGCCTCCGCTGCTTTGAGAACACCCAGGAGCCGGTTCTGACGCTCAGCTGGCAGCTCGAACGCCTGTGTCCACGTGCGTGGGTCCGGCATGCAGTAGGGCATCTCCACCGACTACCGAGGAAAGATGGAGGCGGCTGGGGCCCCGTCCTCGAGCAGGTCACCAAAGAGCAGGTGGCGGTGGTGCTGCATGGGAAGCATGGCCGCCAGCCCCTCCTGAGACAGGGCCCAGCCTGGCTTCTGAGGCTCAGCTGTCCGTCCGCCTTTCATGTGCTCAGAGGCTCAGGCTCCTGCTCCTGGTGTGTTCCTCAGGGCCTGCTCCCTTGTTGTTCCTTTCACTCCTTTCACTCCAGGAGGTGGCATGCTCTGGTCTTTGGAGGAGAGAGGAAGTCCAGCCGGTTAGGAGACCATCATGGCTCCAATCATCTCAGCGGGACTTCCCGTAGCCATCTAAGGTGCCACACCTCTGGCCTTTACATCTGTCTCTGAACCTTTTCTAACTCTAACACACATCTCCATTAGCGGCTTACCACACATCTGTGACTTGTGTCTGACCTTGCTCATAGGCAGTCAGCCATGACTTTCTGATCCACTCAAGTTTAGTAATGGACCCTACTCAGGTCTGTAGACCCCATGGACTGTTCTGTGTGCCACTGGTGGACTTTCATTATGCTCCATGGCCTCCGCGACTGGTCATGGGTCATTCAGTGTCCCCCACTCTTGAGCCCCAGGGACTGGTTTGGTCTGGCCCAGAATCCCTAGCATTTGACTGACAGAGTTGAGAGCATGGCCCTTTATGGTCTCTTGGGTGGAGGATCCCACCCTGTGTTTGTGTCTACACGTATGTGCATGAATATACTTGTGGAGTTTACAGGTGTGTGTATGTCTGGGTCTGTGTGTAAGGGTACAACACAATCTCTTTCCTTCTGGCCTGTCCCCTCATGGGTGGAGATGTGGGGAACAGAAGCTAGAGAAGAGGCGACAGAGGAGGAATAGCCCACAGAAAGAAAGGAAACCCAGCTTAGCAACGGTTCCCAATCCAGCCCCAGTTCCTGGCTCCCGGTGGGTGAGAGGTAGAGACACGTTGAGAGCTCTTCCCCAAACTCACACACCTCCCCACCCATCAAACAGCCCAGAAGCCAGGCCTCCCTGCCCATGCTCCACACACCCACTTTCTGCCTCACATACTTTTCTTCCTTTTCCGTGGAAAATGTACCTCAGTTCTGACACTCTAGGCTTATTGACTCGGTTGCCTAGCAACTTGGAGCCCCCCCTTTTCCCTCACCTGTTGGAAGCAATCCCTATGCCTGAACTTGGTCTTGGGTATGTCATGTGTCCTGCCCAAATGACTGCAAGTCTTTTGAGCCTGGGTCTCAGATACACAATTACTGGTCTTGTGGCCTGGTGTTTGGCTGCAAAGGCTCTTTGGACCTAGCTTTCTGGATAGGGCTCCAACAGGAGACTTTTGTGGCTGAGGTCCACCTTAAGCACTTGTAGGAACTCAAGACCCCTTTTCAACAATTCTGAGGCAAGTTTGGGACCTCAGGGGTTCAGAGGTCTCTCAAGATGAGAAGAGTTTTGTTAAGTCCTAACACGTTCTGGGCCTTGGATGGCAGGTCCTAGAGTTCTATAATCTACTTGCACCCCGACTGTATGCTGGGTGTGGTGGTGCATGCCTTGGATGGCAGAGGCAGGTGAATCTCTGTGAGTTAAAGGCCAGCCTGATCTACATAGTGAGTTCCAGGCCAGCTGGGACTACCAGGAGACCCTGTCTCAAAAAGGCCAAAAAAAAAAAAAATAGAGACTCTAATTCACTTCTCAGTTCTATAATTTACTCATATGTTAATTTCTCTGTATACTAAACACACATAAGTTGTGCTAAAGTTAGTGTATCAGTTTCCTTTCTTTTTTAAAAAAAATATTTATTTTTTTGGCTGGGCATGGTGGCTCATGCCTTTAACCCCAGTACTTTGGAGGCAGAGCAGGTGGATCTCTGTGAGTTCAAGGCCAGCCTGGTCTACATAGTGAGTTCCAGGCCAGCTGGGCTACAAAAAGACACATATATATATATTATTATTATTATTATTATTATTATTATTATTTTGTCTTTTTTGAGACAAATCTACTTATGGCCCCAGTTGTCCTCACTATGTAGACCAGGCTGACCTTGATCTCAATTTTTTTTAACAGCATAGGGTAGGGCTTTTTAAAAAATTTATTATTTTTATTTTATGCGTATGCATGTACTGCCTGCGTGTAGGTAAGTGCACCCATGTCGTGCAATGCCTGTGGAGGTCAGAAGAGG